TAGCAGGACTGGTGTCGGCTCTCGCAGGGTCAGCAGCTGGCACTGGGGACAATGCTGATAAAAGGGAGCTACCTCTGGGCCAGCCTGGGGGGAAGGCTGGCTCCTGCACAGAGCTCGCCTTGTTAACTCCTTCACCGCTGGGGACCTCCTCCGACGAGGAGCCGACTCTTCACAGCTGGAAGAGCGAAGGGGTCTTATTTCAGCGCGCTCATTCGTGACCAAAAATAAAAATGACGTGCGATCCGTCGCTACCTCTGAGACAACGACTCCCACTGGACACTGCGAACTCTGGGCAGCCACCTGAACGAGCGCAGGAGGTTGTTATATGTGCGGGCGGCCCAATGAAGCTGGAAGCCATGTGTCCCCATTAACCCTTTCATTGCTAAAGAGGCGGAGGAAAGCCGGGGACCTGTTCTGTTAACCCGTTCATTACTGGAGAGCTGGGAGAACGTTGCATTGTCTATTAATGTGTTCACTACCAGTGAGCTATAAATGAGCAGCACCATCATACTTTTTAACCCATTCACTACTAGAGAGCTGGCAGAGGGCTGCACTATTGTCCTTTTAACTCACTCACTACTAGAGAGCATTAAATAAGCTGCACCACCTATGTTTTAACCCATTCATTACTAGAGAGTTGGCACGATTGTCTTTTTAACCCATTCACAACAAGAGAGCTGTAAATAGGTGGCACCACCTCCCTTTTAACCCATTCACTACTAAAAATCTAAATAGGTGACGTCATTCCTTTTTTTTAACCCATTCACTACTAGAGAGCTGTAACTAAGTGACATCATTCCCTTTTTAACCCATTCAGGGAGTTAAAAAGGGAATGAGGAAAGGAGCTTTAAATAGATGGCCTCATTATCCTTTTAACCCACTCACTACTAGAGAGCTGTAAATAGGTGACATCGTTCCCCTTTTAACCCATTCACTACCAGAGAGCTGGCAGAGGAATGCATTATTGTCATTTTTTTTAACCCGTCAACTACTAGAAAGCTGGAAACAAGCTGAAACAGTCTCCTTCAACCCATTCACTGCCAGAGAGCTGGCATTTTTAACCCTTTCACTACTAGAGGGCTGACGGCAGGATGCGCAATTGTATTTTTTAACTCATTCACTTCTAGAGAGCTGGGGGAGGGATGAGTCATTGTCCCTTTAACCCTTTCACCACTAGACAACTGAAGGAAGGTTGTCTTTTTAACCCGTTCACTACCAGAGAGCTATCAGAAGACTGTGCCATTTCCTTTTTAACCTATAAACCACTGCAGAGCTAAAAAAGAGGGGTGCACTGTTGTCTTTTTTAACCTATTAACTACAAGAGAGCTGAAAACAAGCTGAACCATTCTCTTTTTTTGCTCTTTCATTACTGGAGTGTAGGTATTGCTTTTCTATCCCATTCACCGCCCGAGAACTGTGCCACTTTTTAACCCATTGACTCCCTGAGAGCTGGGGAGGGCTGAGTTATTGTCTTTTTAACCATTTCACCAATAGTGAGCTGGCAGTGAATGGTGCTATTGTCTTTTTTTTAACCCATGCACCTCCAGAGAGCTGTTATTGTCTTTTTAACCCATTTTTAACCCATTTACTACTGAGAGAGGCCTGTGCCTGTTTTCTTTCTGACCCATTCTCCAGGACAGAACTAAAAGAGGTCTGCTCCTTTGTCATTTTAAACCACTCACTACTAGAAAAGGGCTTGTCTTTTACCTGATTTACTACCAGAGAGCTGGAATAGGTATTCTCATTATGCTAGGGGGTTGTCATATGGCACTTTTTCTTTAGATAGGGCCCATTCACACTTGCGTTTTCATGGATCAAAACGCAATGCATTGTGCCACATGGTGAAAATGCATTTTAAAGGAGAACTATGGGGTTAAGGCTTCTCCCCATAGTTCTCCTCCTTAGGGTAACGGGAGGACACAAACTAGCGTCCTCCCGTCACCCTAGGCTCAGTATACCGCGAGCTGTAGCTTGTGGTATACTGAGACGCCGCAGCTGAAGCGGATCCCGACAATTGTGTCGGGATCCGCCCAGCTGCGTGACTGACAGCTGGCTCTGCCTATCTAGAGGCAGAGCCAGCTGTACCCGCCCCCTCCCCGTCCGTTCCGCTAGTCAGCGCTGGAGGATCGGAGCGGGGAGGGGGGGATCCAGCCCCTCCCCTGTCACGGCAGAGAGCTGTGACAGGATTGAGAAGTGAGCGAACGCCGGTATGTGTTCTCTCACCTCCCGATCTACTGAGCCGACCTGTGACAGTCTCATTGTCACAGGTCGGCTAGAACTATGAGGTGAGTGAAAAGCACTCACCTCATAGTTCTCCTTTAAGTAGAAATCTGATTATTTTCTATTAGGCTGGTTCACATCTACATGCTACGGTGTGTGAATGTGCCCTAAATATTCCACTATAATAACATGTTAAATCATTCTCTGCAGCATCCAGGCACAGGGCAGTGTCCAGTTCTCCTGAATCCATGCAGACACTGTAATTTTCACTTTTTCCTGCTCTGTAATCTCAGCATGACTTGAAACAAAGGCAATGCCTACAATGTCTACAGTTTGCCATATATGATCTCACTTGCCGGATTCAACATACATATGTATGGCTTGAGTGCATATGCATAGATCTCTCTCTCTCTCTCTCTCTCTCTCTATTTATATATATATAAATCATGAACCTACACATATGCATTCCAGCCATACATTTATAGAGATGGCGAAAGAGGAGTT